CAATGGTATAAAAGTTTCTAATAGCTTTGAATGTTTTTTGAAAGAAATTAAACTAGTAGCTTTTGTAAATTTTTCTATAGCCTTTTTAATTAAAAATTAAAAATTTTGAAGAAAAAATTTGAATTTGGACCATTTTTGTATAAGTTATAAGTGAAAAACCAAAAAAAGTTTTTTTTTTCAAAATTCAAATTATCAAAAAATGACAAGTCAAAAAAAAATTTTTTTTGTAATGGAATGCTTCATATATTATACCCATATAAATTTATATTAATAATTCTACGAATTTTAATTATTCAGAAAAATAAAAAAAAATTTTTTTCAGTAAAAAATATTCAATATTTATAAATAAAATATATAATATTCATTAGAGTTAATAAACATATTTGAAGTGTGAAAATTTTATCTTTTTTATTATAATTTATTTTTTAATAAAAATTAAATGATTATTACAAGAAAGGAACTTAAAAATTTTCCAATATAATTTTTTTAGATCGGCATTAACTTAACAGATTTGAGTGGTAAATGATTATAATAAAAATTAGTCATTTAAAAGCGATAAAATAAATAGCATGGTAGGAATAATTATTTGTTAATGTATCTATGATTTATGACAAACGTCAAGTATAATTTAAACGAAAAGGTTTATCCGGTAAAAAAATAAATAAATAAATAAAAGTAAAATAGAAAATAAAAAAAAGGTAAAATAAAAATAAAAATAAAAAGCCAACACGCACAGACTTCCAACGGCGGCGGTGTCGGAAGATTTACGATAATGGCAGAGATACGGAGGGAAGATTTATTCGCGCGCGATCGAATGGAACGAAGGCTCGTTAGTTAGGTTTGGGTTAGGTAGTCGATATGATGTCAGGCGCAATTCGTTTCGTAGCCTAATTATAAAAGCGTCCGGGATCTCGCGTCGGCATCGTTTCAACTTTTGGTACGTAAAACTCGTTGAGACCCCCGCACAGATTTTTATAAATTATTCAGCCAGAGGTTCCCAAAGAAAGATAAAACTATATGTATATAGTTAGATGCACGAATCAATTGTATAGAAAAAAATTTTTAAATTTATTCGATTAGATTTGTTTTTTTTTTTTTTTTTTTTTTTTCAACTTCGGAGATGTAATGCATTATCATAATTAATGCATCACATTAATCAAACAGTTTAGTTGAATAAAATTATGGTTGTTTTGTTGATAATAGCCTGGTAGGTGACTAAATTATAGATGAGATTTTTTTTTAATTAAAATTTTCAGATTTATACACTCTAATTAATCATATATTCACTTAATTAAATACCCTCGATATAATTACGGATCTGTAACTCTAAATAATGTCCCAATTGTTTTTTGTCCCACTAATTCTTATGAGAATAATTTTGTCGACTGTTTATTTATGTTAATACATTACTGAAGGTAGACATTTAAAATTTTTAATGACTTTTGTCAAGCATAAATACTTTAAAGATATTATTTAAGATAAAAATATTTCAACACATGACCGTACAAAATAATACATAAATAATGTCTTATTTTAGTTAAATTAATCAGACCCCAATCTCTAATTTACATGTTTTTAACAGTAAATATTATAATTGACTTTATGCTTTACATAAATTATTAATAGCAGTGGAATACGCTTTTAAAAATTTATGAACTTTATGGATTTATCTTAAGAATTGTTTCATAATTTTTCTATAAATACTTTGCAACAAAAATATTTTTATATTTTTCATGAATTTACGGATAAAGAAAATTGGTATTATATATTGCTGTACTTCAAATATTGTTATATTGTTTATTATACGGATATCACACATGAAAAATTCATGTAAGTACTTGAATGAAAAGTTTCGATAAATGTAATATAAAAATGACCTGATATTTACGGAAATGTCAATATTTAAGAAATTAGATTGTAATTTATAAACTAATGATATTTTTAAAGATATAAGCTCATCATGATGTTACACTCGGCAAGACCTTTCATTTGAGTACCCACATGCATTTTTGATATATTTTTCATATATACATATATATAATATATATAAATATATAAAATATATGAATAATTGACGTGGGTACTCAAATGAAAGGTCTCGATGAGGTAAACATCGGAATGAGCTTAGAACTTTAAAAATGTCAATAATTGAGAAATGATAATGTATCTTGTCTCCTAATGGTATTTTCAAAGATGTAAGCTCATCTCGATATTGCACTCATCGAGACCTTCCATTTGAGTACCCACATGAATTTTTCATATATTTCATATATATATGATATTTATAATAATTTTAAAATATATAAAATATATATAAAAATTCATGTGGGTACTCAAATTAAAGGTCTCGATAAATGTAATATAAGAATGAGCTTATATCTCTAATAACATCGTTAGTTGACAAGTTACAATGTCATTTTTTAATTATTGACATTTTTAAAGATATATAAACTCATCATGATGTTACAATCATCGAGACCTTTCATTTGAGTACCGACATGAATTTTTTATATATTTTATATATTTCACAAATATAATATATATCACATATATTAAATATACAAAAAATTCATGTGGGTACTCTAATGAAAGGTCTCGATGAGTGTAACATCGGAATGAGCCTAGAACTTTAAAAATGTCAATAATTAAGAAATGATATTGTATCTTGGTCCCTTATGGTATTTTCAAAGATGTAAGCTCATCTTGATATTTCACTCACCGAGACCTTTCATTTGAGTACCCACATCAATTTTTCATATATTTTATATATATTATATATATATATAGTATTCGTAAAATATATCATGTATATAAAAAAATTCATGTGGGTACTCAAATGAAAGGTCTCGATTAATGCAATATCAAGATAAGCTTACATCTTTAAAAATACCATTAGGGGCCATGATACAATATCATTTCTTAATTATTGGCATTTTTAAAGATATAAACTCATTTTCATGTTACACTCATCGAGACCTTTCATTTGAGTACCCACATGCATTTTTTTATATATTTCATATATTTCACAAATATCATATATATCACATATATAAAATATATGAAAAATTAATGTGGGTACTCAAATGAAAGGTGTCGATGAGTGTAACATCAAAATGAGCTTATATCTTTAAAATTGTTAAGAAAAATTGAAATAGTGAAATAAATAAGAAAATACTTGTTTTTTAATTCTCATATAATTTCTAAATCCTAATTAATATCCAATTAATATTACTCCTGAATAACAAGCTTATAATTACTTAAACTTCTAATGAAATAAGTACTTTAAAATTTACTAGTATATAATAACATAATTAACTAGTGAATCGTTTCAAGCTCTAATGAGCAGAGATATATTAGTACTAAATTTAACGCGGTGCGTCTATCTATTATTTACTCCAACTATTATTTATGGTCATTTAATAACTAAATTTTCCAAGGATTTTACTCAAAGAATTGAAGATTTTTTCACACGCATAAATTACAACTTTGAATCATTGTTTAATACAATATGTGTAACAGTAGAGATCCAATTGTACGTCCTTATTAATGATAATATTTGTTGGTACCAACATGTATATTCTGGGATGGAGATGGAGAAAGACATGCGTGCATCTATACATACATATATGTACATGTAAGTGCATTTAATGGAGTAAAATAACTGGTAAGTGGTTATTGGAGCGAGTGAAGGTAATGTGAAGGATGGAGCTATTTGGTCTTAATACGTTTTCAAGAGGCATCTTGTAATGTCGCCGCTAATGCTCTCTCGACATTTATTATAAAGTCGCTTTCTCTTATCGCACAGTTTCACGTGTATCGCTCTTTAATATATATGTATTCGTATAAATATATATAAATGTAATAGTGGTTCTTTACAAGCGCTACTTGCAGAACCTTTAGATTGAAAATGTCAAACACCCGCTCAACGATGTAAATTACGATTGCTATCTATCGAATGCTACCTCCTCTACTCCGTATGTCACCGGAAATTTATTTCCTTCGTTATAAGAACGAACCATCCACCAACTACAAAACTACCAGTCAACTGCTTCCTTTTCCATTTGTTTATACGCGCTAAAATATTTATTTCTAAGCACGTTCTACCGTTTGTATACATAATACATCTCTTATATTACTTCGATTCGAGTTTTTTATAATCGGCTACTATATTACATATATCTGCCGATGTATGTGTTTACATATGTATATATTACAATAAATGAAAAATAAAAACTATTTTTTTATGCAGTTTCCCAGGAAAATTTGTGTTTTACTAAATTATTATTTTTTAAGAGCCCCCTTCAAAAATCAGGTTTCGACTCAAAATTTTTAGAATGTTAAGGTGTATATACACTGAAAGAAAAAATTTATTTTAAAAAAAATGAACAATGTTGTATAATAAGAAATTAAGAAATTAACATTCAAATAAGCTTATAACTTCAAAAATTGTGAATAATTAAGAAATAACATTGTATCTTGTCAACTAATGATATTTTTAAAGATATAAGCTCATCTTGATGTTACACTCATCGAGACCTTTCATTTGAGTACCCACATGATTTTTTTATATATTTTATATATATGATATATTTGTGATATTTGTGAAATATATAAAATATATTAAAAATTCATGTGGGTACTCAAATGAAAGATCTCGATGAGTGTAATATCAAGGTGAGCTTATATCTTTAAAAACATCATTAGGTGACGAAATACAATGTAATTTCTTAATTATTAACATTTTTAAAGATATAAGCTCATTATATTGTTACACTCATCGAGACCTTTCATTTGAGTACCCACATCAATTTTTCATATATTATATATGTATGTATATATGAAAAATATACTGTAGATATTTGTAATAACTGTTATCAGTATCATCGCGTAAATTACTCGTTTCTATTTTATTTAAATACTTTGAATTTTTTTTTTCATTATTATTATTTAAAAAAGAATGATTGATTAACTGGGGAGTTGTAATAAAAAAAAAGATATTTATGGGACGTCAGGTACGAGCAGACGATGTGGTTCGTAGTACAGATACTACCGAAGAAATTCAAGTCGAGACATCCGACATCTCAAATAAATTTAAATTTTTTGAGACATATAAAGAACCGGAGAAAGAAAGAAAGCAGTTCAGAATAACGCCACCACGTGATGGACAAGTTAAGGTTTGTGTGCGTATGTGTGATGGGATAATTAAGATTTTGTTTTAATGGTGACTACGCAATTAAATAATACTGCATATACATTCAAATAATTACTATTATTGCTGTGTGTTACGCGTTTGCCGGTTTCATCTAACAGCACAATTAACCCTATCAAGATTATTATTATTTCCCATAATTACAATCTTCTTTATGATATTATTATTACATAATGACTTTGTGTGATTGAGTCTATTTGCAAGTTAATATTTTATTTTTTTTTTTATTAATATTATTTGTTATAATTATGGCCAGGATTTTTTATTTAATAATAACAATAATAATAAAAATTCATGTGGGTACTCAAATGAAAGGTCTCGATAAGTGTAATATCAAGATGAGCTTATATCTTCAAAAACATCATTAGGTGACGGAATACAATGTTATTTCTTAGTTATTGACATTCTTTAAGATATAAGCTCATCATGTTGATACACTCATCGAGACCTTTCATTTGAGTACCCACATGTATTTTTCATATATATTTTGTATATATGATATTCGTTATATTTGTGATATATATAAAATATATGAAAAATTCATATGGGTACTCAAATGAAAGGTCTCGATGGGTGTAGCATGGAAATGAGTTTATATCTCTAAAAATATCATTAGGTGACAAGATACAATGTTATTTCTTAATTAATAACATTTTTAAATATATCATATATAAAATATATCATTTATCCTTACTATAATAAAATTACAAGCCTTAGCCTTGTAATGCAATTAATTACTATGAAGTCCTTAATTAAGTCACTTACAAAGATATACATTAATCATACGCTAACAACAACTACATACATTACTCCGTCTCATGGACTAATCACCTAGTTAACTGGTAATTAATCACAAAACCCTTGACTATACAACCACCCCGTATCACAATGACGTCCCAATAATATCCCAATCATGTTCCAGTGATGTGGAGACAAAGGATCAAGCCTCTTATCATAATGATATTCACAACAAGCGTATGATAATCACGAAGGCCATTTGCCTGATCAACGTCCAGTCTTTGCGATATGTATGTCCATTTATAAATATATCTATATATGTATATATGTGGGGTGACACGGATGTACAATCCCACGTTTCGTGATTTATAGGACAGGGCGATGAGTACGCGATGGAAGACCACGTCCTATCCCTGACGGAAGCATGTACTGCGCCATTAAATTCAATACAGGCACCCAGGAACTCCCAGTAGGCCCATGTAAACTCGCGTCATGTATAATATCTCTCACATACCACTGTCTATCGTTCTAGGTACATGATAATACCAACCGCAATTACATGCTGTATGTTTATTATATATTTTAAATAAAACTTGACGCGATCAAGAATAAGTTTGAGTACAGAAAAATATAATTAGCTGGCAAAATACAATGCAATTTCTTAATTATTGAAATTTTCAAAGATATAAGCTCATCTTGATATTACATTTATCGAGACCTTTCATTTAAGTACCCACATGATTTTTTTTATATATTTTATATATATATATATGATATTTGTGAAATATATAAAATATATGAAAAATTCATGTGGGTACTTGAATGAAAGATCTCAATGAGAGTAACATCATAATGAGCTTATGTCTTTAAAAATGTCAATAATTGAGAAATTACATTATATTTTGTCACCTAATGATGTTTTTAAAGATATAAGCTCATTTTGATATTATACTCATCGAGACCTTTCATTTGAGTACCCACATGAATTTTTCATATATTTGATATATTTCACAAATATCAGAAATATCATATATATGAAAAATATATAAAAAAAAATCATGTGGGTACTCAAATGAAAGGTCTCAATGAGTATAACATCAAGATGAGCTTATATCTTTAAAAATTTCAATAATAAAGAAATTATATTGTATCTTGGCCTCTAATGATATTTTAAAAAATAAGCTCATCTTGATATTGTACTCGTCAAGACCTTTCATTTGAGTACCCACATGAATTTTTCATATATTT